TAGGAATATCCCCAGGCTTGAGACGTACTGTCTCCAATAGCTAATAGGCAAAGAAGCCAGTTTTGGTGCAGGACCACTTATTTTGTGGTTGGAGGCTACTACAAAATTCGTCCTTTTTTTTTTTTTTTTAAGATTTTATTTATTTGACAGATCACAAGTAGGCAGAGAGGTAGACAGAGAGAGAGGAGGAAGCAGGCTCCTGGCTAAGCAGAAAGCCCGATGCGGGGCTCAATCCCAGGACCCTGGGATCATGACCTGAGCCGAAGGCAGAGGCTTTAACCCACTGAGCCACCCAGGGGCCCCCCTGCTTTTTTAAGATTTTCTCATTTATTCACGAGAGCCAGAGGGAGAAGCAGGCTCCCCGCTGAGCAAGGAGCCCAACTTGGGACTCGATCCTAGAAACGTGGGATCATGACCTCAGCCGAAGGCAGACGCTTAACCGACTCAGCCACCCAGGTCCAGTTTGTCCTAACTTGATTGTGAAATAGCTCCATGAGCTGTGATACAGCTTCCAAGATGATCACTTGGAAGGCAGGTCACTTGGATTTCGTCCTCATTTAGGGCCCATCCGGCTTTCAGCAGCTGGGCTTGGGTGGCATGTAATGCAGCAAGAGCAGTTTTCTCCGTGGAGCCTTTATGGAAATGCATAACCACGGGGAGTTCACATCATTCTAGCGGTGTCCCATGTACTGATGCTCTGTCACCGGAGAATTTGGAGCAATCCAGGTGTACTGCTGGATGCTGTAGGGGGAAGGCACATTCCCCCACTCCATGCCCCTACCCCCACCCCTAAGGAGATCTGAAAATCAAGTATTAGCAATGCCTGCGGTGGCTGCAAACCAAGAACCAGGTATGATAGGTAGCAACCCATTCATTCACTTTGATGATGTCACGTACTGTGGAAATGGACTGGACCGTGTTCTTTAAGCTTCCATGGTCTGGCTTCCATTGAAGCCAGCTTCCATTGGCTGGCCTGGGTGTCCCATTGAAAGGAAGCTCAGAAGCTTCACACAGCACCCCTGGCTATACAAAACCTTGTGCGAGAAGACAGTGTACTTTTTCTTCTCCCAGGAAAAGGCATAAAGTTTGCCATCATCATGCTTGGCAAGCTACATGGGTAAACACCGTTCTGGGCTCAGCCTCTGACTGACCCTTAGATGAGCTACCAACAGAGGTCGCCATGAGTGCACTACTTTGCCTGGCCTTCTCATTCTGTCTTCCCTTGACTCTTAATCATAAAACACAAGGACATGTAAAAGCTTCCCCCACCCCCCCCAACCCCCAGGGGCTGCTTTTTTTTTCTCGCGTTCAGTGGCCTCATTACCCAGGATTTTTATTTCCTAGGAAATCCACGTCTTGTTCAAATGATTTGCCTGTTTGAAAATTTTGGTGGCGTGCTGCCCCGCCCACCCCAGAGCCTTCCTGGTCTTTCTCTCCAGATCCTGGCCATTCACCTCTCGCCAGGGCTCTGTTTTTCATTGTTAGGCCACTTGCACCCAAGTGAATGATGAGATGCACTGCACAGTGCTTTGACCATTGGAGTTCTTTCCCCTCACCTTGTCTTCCAAGGCCACACCCAAATAAGGCTATTCATGCATCCCCCTCGTAATTCCTGCTTGTGCCCACATATCCAGCCCAATGAACGAACCACCCCATGTGGCAGGAGTGAAGCTGGGAAGGAGAGAGCCAACAGGAGGATGCCTTACCAAGTTGGCCACCCCTGTGTGATTCTTGCCTTGGTCCCACGGAACTGTCTTGGAGAAGTGATCTTGGAGAAGTGATGTAAAACCTGTCTCAGAACAGTTTTGTCCTGGGAAAGGAGAACAGATGTATCCCCTGACTCCTGCGTCCCAGCAGGTAGGGTAGGGTAGGCACTGTCCAGCACTTAGGGGTTATACATGTGTGGGTGCTGGCTGGGGTCCCTGGCAACGACCACAGGAAAGCTCCCACATGAGAGTCCACAGGCATCAGTGGAGGTCTGGAGCACAGCTGTGTTACGATGGCATGAAGTTGGCCACAGCCCTTGCAGGACTGGCACTGCGGTGATGGCTTGTATGAAGACACACGTGAGGCCCAGAGGATGTAAAGTGTTGCGTAAAGGAGGGAAAGGGGTGTCTGTTACAGCAACGTAACAGTAAGAGAATGAAGTCCCAAAAGATTATGGAGGGCGTGGTAACCGTTTCATTTATCTACAAATAACTACTGTAGTTATATGCACTTTCTAGACAATCCATATAACTGCAATAGAGCTACAGAATAAGAAAAGCAAAGATGTGAATGGAAGGGTCGGCAGGTTATGCTGGAAGAAGATGGGGAGGGGTGAGGAAACGGAAAGTTTTGCACAGTCACAGTTCAAGGCTAAACGTTGCGCTGCGCCCCGCTGCCACAAGAGGGCGCGCGCTACTAGGTGAGGACGCGCCCGGCGGCCACCTGCGCAGCCATAGGGTTTTGTTTTCGCCAAAGGAAAGTTGGGGCCAGCTGCGAGAGGGGTGGCAGGGCACCAGCGGGGGCGCCTGCTGGCAGGGGACCCCGGGGAGGGCCCCCGCCCCACGGGTTTCCAGAGGAAGCCGGTGCCGGCACGCGAAGCCTCGATGCGCGCCGGCCTCAGCCCTGACTTCCTGCTGCCCGTCACCCTCCTTCCCTGGACGCCGCAGGGGCGCAAACCGAGGGCCCGCGGGCTGCGCGAAGCCTCCGCACGGCTGTGGTTCGGCCTGAAGCGCGTCATTTTGAGAGTTCCTTTGGCAGCCTTTAGAACCCAGGAAAGGTTTAGCCTGAAAACCCAGACTTGCCCTTCTCTCGGGCACTTGGGGCAGCTGGCAGCCCTGGGCTGCCGTCCCCTCCACGTGCACACCCCCTTCCCTGGGCAGTGCGGTCTTTCATAGTTTGGGTCAGATGGATGTTCAGCGGGACCGTTATTCTGGCTGTTAGCGCCCGTCAGAACCAAGCCGAGGGCCGCACTCGATACCGCGACATTTCCTTTTTTGCACAACTCGGCGTGGAGTTAACCCCGGTCTTTCTCGTTTGTGTAATTCTCATGTACAGAAAACACGACAGTAAAACCCCAGCGAGCCACCAGTCGCCTCATTCACCTTACAAGGTCCACAAGCTCCAGTTCCCCTCCCGGTGGCCTTCAAGAGGAGGCCCCTCAGGGTCCCCTCCGCCGGGCTGGGGCTGGTTGCTCTGGCCAGGACCCGAGAGCCCAGCCTGGCAGCTCCCTTCCTCTCAGGGGGTTCGGAACGTTGTTTTTTTTTTGTTTTGTTTTGTTTTAAACAGAAATCCCCCTTCTCAGTCTAAACCATATGGAAACTCCACTATATAAAACAGGAAATAGGATATTAGTATAAATAACCAATTTATAGTTATATATACTGTAACAACGGGGTTAATTTGAAAAGCCCCCAGTTTGGCGTGTATGACCTCTTCTCTGGATTCATTCCCCTGCTTTGTCTCAGCTGTGCAGGGACAGAGAAATTCTGGTTCCATCCAGGACACAGCAGGTTCGGAGACACTTGACTCACACACTTGGCATCTTCCTCACTTAAGGGTGCAAGGCCAGGGTCCCCTGAGGCTGCCCAAGGTGAGGGAGCCTGTGGGGGTGGCGGGAGGGTCGAGGGGTTCTAGTGTCAGTGTTTGTTACTGAGAACGGAGTGTGTGGTTTAAGGGGTTAACACATTTTGCACATAAAATCAGACCTCCATGAGCAGCCTGAAGCACCCCTGAGGGCTCATAGGATTTTCAAAGTGCTGGTTGCTGTGGAGAGGGCCCAAAGACCCTTGTTTCCATGGCAACAAAGTTAGCTTTTCATGCTGGGGAGGTGGCCTGGGTGGGAGATGGTGGCACAGGGAATGGGCCAGCTCTGGGTCATCTGAGCATCCTGGCTGGAGGGCTGAACAGGTAAATGTGTCTGGAAGGGAAGCTTCTAGCACATGGCTGCAAGCAGAAGGAGTGTGTCAGGCCAGGACTCCCTCAGGAGCACACTTGTTTCCTTCTCTGGGCTTGTCTGCAGACACCACCGCCAACTGTCTGTGGATGAAGCCAGCTGGCCTAGGTCGGCTCCGCCCTGGCCATTCCCGAGGCCCCCAGGGCATAGTGGTCATAGGCCAGGCCCAGGAGAGGGCCAGATCTGGCCTCAAATCCCAGCCCTTTCGCCAGCCTGGTTTCCCACTCAGCTTTCTCCACTGCCAGTCTGTTCAGGGTAGGTGCGGGGCATTTTACTGTAGCCCAGAGCAGCCCGCTGGAGAGAACCACACCAAGCCTGTCTCAGAGGGCCTCTCAAAGCAAGTTTTTCTTGTGGGTGGTAGAGGCTTCCCCGAGAGAGGGCACTACCCTTCATCTTCCTTCCCTCCCTCCCTCCCTCCCTCCTCAAGGCTTGTAAGGCAGGCCCAAGGAGGCTCTGCTTGCCAGGGAGCTTGCTTCCTGTGGGAGAGGCTGTGAGCAGACCAGCTTTGGCCTCGTCTCCCAGTGCCCCCTCGAGCTACAGGTGCCAACATGCTTCTCTGAGGGCTCAGGTTGGCCCCTGACTCCCTGTCCTCCCTCCAGGGCCCAGTCTTCCTTCCTCTCGCATCTTTACTGACCAGTGGGTCACTTCCCACTGGGAGCTGGGGAGCTGGCGGTGGAGTCTGGGTTACACACAGGCACCACCCCTGGACTGAGCAGTCTCACACCCACATCCTGCAGCCTCAATTCTCTAGCACCGGTTAGCACATGGCACAGGCCATGCTGCCAGCATGGGCTGGGTGGCACCTGGGGCTCTGTCTTCCCCCACACCCCAGGTAGCTCTCCCAGCTGCTGAGGTGCCTAGACAGAATGCCTTGTAGTGCGTTTTTGTTTTTTTTAAATTGTGGTAAAAGATACATAAAACTTACCAGTTTAACCATTTTTAGGGGTGTGGTGGCATTAATTATGTTGTTGGGCAGCCGCCGCCACCATCCAACTCCAGAACATTTCATTCTTCCCAAATGGAACTGTACCCATTAAACATGAACTCCCTGGTCCCCTGCCCCCGGTCCCTGGCCACAATTCTGTCTCTGACTTGTAACTTCTATAGGAACCTCCTGTAAATGGCATCAGACAGTTCTTGTCCTTGGTTGTCTGGCTTATTTCACTCAGTATCATGTCTTTGAGGTTCCTCATGTTGTAGTATGTTCCAGAATCTCCTACCTTATTTTTTTTTTAAAGGGCTGCTTGCGTGGCTCTTGAATACTGCTTTCTGTTTGTGTGTGAACAGTACTGGCTTCCACCCTTCACCACTAATTTACTCTGAAAATATGCAAATCTGCCTCTGCTGTTCTCCTTCCCCGGGGAGGGGGTGGTGTGCACACACACACGGGTGGGGCCCCCAGGCTTCCCCATGAGCTCTGTGGGCCCCATCACTCTACTCCTGGTTGACAGCCTCGGTTAATGAGAAATCCTTGTGCAACTGGCCAAGTCAATTATTTTATTACAAAACACACACACACCCCTACACAGACACACAGACACACACACAAACACACAGACACACACACAATGGGAAGTAAGGCTGAGGCCCGAAAGGAGCCAGGATCTCTGATCTGGGGCAGGCTGACCACAGACTGCCTCTGCAGATGTGCCTCACTTAAGAAAGAGGGTCTCTTCCAGAGGGGCTTTCCAAGCTAGATAAATTAGGAGATGGCTTGGTTTCTATAAGGGGACTTAAGGCGGCTTCACTCCCCCTGAGGAATGTGAAGCAGAAGCAGATTTAGGCAGGCATTTCCAGAAACCCCTCCTTCGTGTGTTAAGTGGGGTCATCGGTCCCTGAGGCGGTTGGTTCCCAAAGCAGGAGGGAGACCGGATCTCCCTGGAGGCTGGTCTTCTTTTCTAGGCGGGAAGGACTATTCTCCAAGGACTGGAAAGGGGCTCGGCGTGGCTCCGGAGCCCAGGACAACCTCCTGCGTGGACGGGGCTTTGGCACAGGAGCTCAGGGTCAAAAGCCCTTCATGGGGGCTGGCCCACTGACCCTCCTGTCTGCAGGGCCTTCAGCAGGGCCAGCCTGGGGTGGCGTCACACAGCTGCATCTTGGGAAGGAAATGGCAAAGTTAGGCGGCTGTCAGGGCAGGGCCCACAGAGAAGCCGCACAGCAGGGGGCCGAGCCCAAGTTGGGCTCAGTGCACTTCCTCCCCCACCCAGCACCAACCGCCCTTGGAGTGATTTTAGTCTTTCTGAATACACTTCTCAAAGAGAAAAAAATTCAGTATTACGAGGAGGATTTCTCTTCCTACTCCCCCTCTCTGCCCAGGTATATCCTCAGAGGGACTTGAACTGCCTTAGCTCCTTCTTTCGGCTCTTCCTTCCCGAATTTTAAGCCCTATGTTTCTGCCAATATTTACACATGTATCACCTTCAGCTGTTACCTAGTAACACTCTTCTCTACTTTTCATCCTTCATTTTCTTCTTTCCTTAAACAGCCTGACCGAGATATACTCCAGGTACCATACAACCCACCCGTCTAAAGTGCACACTTCTAAGGTTTCCACATATTCACAGGACGGCACAAGCACTCACCGCCACAATGTGAAAATGTTTCGTCACTTCCAAAAGAGGCCCCCTGCCCATCTGCCGTCCCGTCCCCCAGCCCCTGGTCACCCCCCACCCCAGTCCTCCCCGCCATCTACTTTCTGCCTCCTGGGATGAGTCTATTCGACACATTTCCCATCAATGGGATCCTATAGCCTGTGGTCTTTTGTGCCTGGGTCCCTGCCCTCAGCGTCCTGTTAACTTTCTGTCAGCAGCTTCTGGAAGGAAATGGAAGCTCTGATGAAACAAGCCCTCCGCGGGGCAGCTCAACCCCCAGACTGTACATGCTCTGCTATTTTGTAGTGTGTTCTTTTAAAGGAAAGAAGAACAGAGGAAGGAAGGCTGGAGTAGGGAAGGGAACTAATCGACATTGTTGGCTCAAGGTCTCAGCAGTGTTACTTCTAGGAATGTATTCTAAAGAGAGAGAGTATCAGGGATGAGTATGGGGCTATATTTACAAGGATGTTCTTTACAACACTGCTTAGTAGCAAAGAGTTAAAAAAACAAACCAAATGAAACATGATGACCCCGAGCAGGAGACAAACTATGACACAGACGTGCAGTGGGGTCAGTGCCACACCATGCAGTCATTAAAAGTGAGGGAGAAGAGGGGACTTGGCTGTCTCAGTCAGTGGAGCGTGTGACTCTTGATCTCGGGGTTGTGAGTTTGAGTCGCACGTTGGGTACAGAGGTCACTTAAAAATAAAATCTTGGGGCGCCTGGGTGGCTCAACGGGTTAATCCTCTGCCTTCGGCTCAGGTCATGATCTCAAGAGTCCTGGGATTGACCCCTGCATTGGGCTCTCTGCTCAGCAGGGAGCCTGCTTCCCCCCCCCCCCCCCCCCCGCCTGCCTCTCTGCCTACTTGTGATCTGTCAAAATCTTTAAAAAAGGGGCGCCTGGGTGGCTCAGTGGGTTAAAGCCTCTGCCTTCGGCTCAGGTCATGATCTCAGGGTCCTGGAATCGAACCCCGCATCGGGCTCTCTGCTTGGCAGGGAGCCTGCTTCCCCTTCTCTCTCTCTGCCTGCCTCTCTGCCTGCTTGTGATCTCTGTCAAATAAATAAATAAAATCTTAAAAAAAATAAAAATTAAAGAATAAAATCTTAAAAGTGAATGAATGAATGAATTCATAAATAAACTCTAAAATACAAAACAAAACCATATTGGAGAAGAAATCTTCAACCATGTGGGGAAAATGCCTGATAGGCAGTTAAGTAGGAGAATAAGAGCATGTTACAATAACACAAAAAGTCTGATCCTTTAATAAAAGCAACATATATATCTATAGATCTTTATACCTATCTATGTATCTTTATATCTGTCCATCCATCCCTCCATCCAGAGAAAGGAAATACTAGAATGACAGACACCCAGCAGCTGCTCTTCCTGGGTAATGTGATAACAGATGGTTTTCATGAAATTTTTTTTTTCTTTATGTGCACTTTGTAAATTCTCTGCACTTCATTTTTGTCATTAGGAAACTGATTTAAAGAAAATGCTTCAACATTAGAGGCGGACATGTGAGGGTGTCCCGGGTGTGGAAATGAGGCAAGGGCAGAGGGTCTTGGGTTCCACCTTTCCACCTGGGCCCCACGCCTCAAGGCCTCCCCTGTAGTGGGGCCCTTCCCTGTTGCTGACTGGACTCCACAACAGGCCGTCCTCCTGTTCCCCAGCAGAGGGAACTTTTTTTTTTTTTTTAAGATTTATTTATTTATTTGACAGATTACAAGTAGGCAGAGAGGCAGGCAGAGAGGGGGGTGGGAAGCAGGCTCCCTGCTGAGCAGAGAGCCCGATGCGGGGCTCGATCCCAGAACCCTGGGATCATGACCTGAGCCGAAGGCAGAGGCTTTAACCCACTGAGCCACCCAGGCGCCCCAAGCAGAGGGAACTTTCAGAGACCACCTGTGTTCGGACAAGCGGAACTCACCCGTTGACTGGGTCACACATGAGATCTTGTAGGACATCCAGATGCTCGCCAGGCAGAGGAAGGTGGCCACGAAACCAAAGATCTGCACAGGACAGGGAGGAAAGGAAGTTCCGAGGCCCAGGGCCAATCACTCAGGCTGTCCTTTATGTTTCTCATTCCTGTATGAGCTGTGGCCCAGAGGGAGCCTGGGGAATCGAGTGACCTGACACCTGGTCCTTGCTCAGGTGCAGGGCTGGTCCCCAGGCCTCCCCCAGCAGGGCCCTGGCTCAGGCCTGGCCCTGGGGCTCTGGCCTCCACCTCCTGGCCCTCCTCACTCCAGGCAACTTCAGGGCCCACGTTCGGTTTGTATTTACAACTGAGCTAAGGCCAAGACACTGCACAAGACCGTTACTGGGCTAACGAACGAGGAAAAGGTGGAAGTGTACGTTTCAGTTGGGGTTTTTACATTTCTAATGTTCAAATGGACTTTACTGATGGGACAGGGTTGCATTTCATTCAAAACGGCTTTCTGTTCTGTCTTGCTGTACAGCTGTGTACTAATAGCCAGACTCCGAGGCCTTGATACGTGGTTTTATGTTTGCACACACCTCCACAATCGTAGACTAAAATCAGTTGAGGCAGCGCTCCTTCCCTTTCTGAGGCTCCCCGCCGTGCTGACGTGGCTAACCTCGCTGACCTAGGAAAGTTGACCCAGCCCAGTCCAGCTTCATTTAAAGAGGAGGAACAGGGCCCCCAGAGAGGAAAAGGGCTCCTCTGATGGTCCAGAGAGAAGTGGGTGCACCCTCTGGTGTCTGTCTGGCCCTTAGAAGCCTGAAGCCACTTCCTCACCTGTGAACACCTGCAGTAGCTCTAATTTACTGACCACCTACTCTGTGCCCAGCCGTGTTCTAAGCCATTAGGGGTGCTGTTCCCTTCCACTCCCACCACTCTGCTAGGTGGAGGCTGCTGTTACTTCCCGTCTTCCTCATCTGGCAGCTGAAGACAGGGAGGGACAGCAAGTCAACTCCTTTGCCCAGGGCCACGAGCCAGCGAGGGCCGGACTTGGGACGTGGGCCCTAGGAACCTGGCTCCAGAGCCCAGGTCGACTGTAGCCCGGGTGTTCCCGGACTCGCCAATGGCTTCAGGCTGGTGACGTGACCACAACCATGAGCGGACGTGCAGCAGGAAGAGCCCGGGAGCAGCCAGAGACCAAGGGCACGGTTTGCTTTTCAAGCCCAGCTACTGGTTTACAGAAGCGGCTGCCTCCTCTTCCCACCGGCCCACACCCACCTTCCCCTCCCCCAGGCCCCTTTCCTTGGCTCCTTTTGTACCGATTGTCTACAGCACATAATTAGCCTACTGGAGCCTGTCCTGGCCCCTCATTGTGTGTTCTGCACAATTAGCACACGAGATGCCATCCCAGGCTCCTACTGTCTGCACTGCATAATTGAACAGTTTATTATGTCGCTACATCACGCTCTTCTGGGTGACAATGCCTTGTTTGCTCCTTGTTTCATGGGCCTTAGCTTTGACTCTACACTGGATGACCCTTTTCTTATAAGCAAGGACTGTATCTTTTAAGTTATTCTGGCTTCCCCTGGCCAAGGCTTTGTCCTAGGCACCAAGATGGTGTATGATAAATGGGGCTTACTGGGATTCCAGGGCTAACAAACAGAGGTGGGGCAACCTGAATCATAAAACCCAGCAGGAAACTCCCCATGCACCAGTCTCCTCTGTGTCTCCCTCAGCCGCCTGCCTGTCCTGGGGCTGGTGGGAAGCTGGGGTGGTGCCCACCCCTCTCACTGGGGACTGGGGGCTCTGGGGGCACTTAAGCTCATGAGTGTTCAGAGACTTGGTGGCCCGCCGCCGTATCCAGGTGCTGCCTGTGCCCACCTTTGGAGGACAAACCCCACCCCTCAGTGGAATTCCAGGCATTTAACCCACTCCCAGCCCAAAGTCTGGAGACCTTTGCTAACATGTAAATGAAAGAGTGATTGTCCCATAAAGCTTTTCTTAAAATTCATTTAAAAAATGAAAGGTGCCTGGGTGGCTCAGTCAGTTAAGCATCTGACTTGATTTTGGCTCAGGTCATGACCTCAGAGTTGTGAGAGGGAGCCCCGTTCTGACATGGAGCCTGCTTAAGATTCTCTCTCTCTTCCTCTGCCCCTCCCCTGACTTCACATGCACCTCCTCTCTCTCCCTCTAAAAAAAAAAAAAACTCATTTAAAAAATTTAATCTGCTCAATAGTAAGGCAAATCAGGTCACCCAACTGTAACCAATTAGCTGAATCAGAAATCAGATAACAGTAATCTATAAGCCTTTTAAAAATAAATACATATACACATACATACCCCTGTATGTATATTTGCGTAGGTGTGGTAAACAATGCTCCCACATCACTGTATTTTTAAACATTTCCATGCTTCTATTCAGGCTATCAGATGGATTAGTTTTCACCTTTGAAAGGTCTAGGAGTGTTGTTTCTTGACCTGAATTCTGTTACAAATAAGGACCAGCAAAGCTAGGACTGTAGCCCGGGTGTTCCGGGTGGCAGGTATCACTGACAGATCACATGTGCTCTTACCCTGGGCCCCAAAGAGGCCTTGGGATCTTTGCATAGCTCTGAGGCAGCCATCAACGAATGACCCCAATGGCCCCCTGATGTAAGGAGTGGCTGGCTGAGGGAGGGCCGGGCCACTGGGGCCATTTGAGTGTGCCAGGAACCCTGACCAGCCACCTGCTGAGACCCTTTGGTGTGGGCCGGGCTCTTTGGAGGCTGCTGTTGGCTGGATCAAGGTGGGTTCTGATGAGTACTTTTCTGGGGAAGAAAGTCCCCAGGAAACAATCCCCTCTCTGCCCATCAGGAAGAAAATGCTCTAGAAGTGAATTCATTCGTGAAGGTTCCCTGAGACCATCCTTACCGCTCCAGCTACCATCCCGCTCTGGCTGTAACTCTTGGAGGCTGCCACAATGGAGGCGATCAGGAGGAGGAGGGTACTGATCAAATAGTGCAGAAGTTCCTGGGGACAAAAACAAAGCAAAGCAGTGGGTCGGGAGGTCCACTCCTGCTTCTCAGAGACAACTGGGCACAGAAGAGAGGAACAGAGGGGAGGGAGTAATACCTGACAGGAGCAGTTAGCTCACAGGGAGCAGACGCAGAAGGCTGGCCAGGATGAGGCCCCGCAAGACAGAAAAGGAGCTGGGCAGGCAGCCAGAGAGATGACAGAGAGAAAGGACACTTATCGTGTGAGGAGAGATATCCACTAAGGTCTGCTCCACTCCTGAGAGCACTCTGTAGACAGTACCCTAACCTCCGGCCAAAGCTACTGAAAGCAAACAGCTTCTCACAACTCCCAGGCTATGGAGTTTAAAGGAAAACGCCAGCTCTGAGAAGCAAAGCCCCTTCAAGAGGTGTGTACCTTTCCCTGCTTCAGAGAAAGTTCTGGGCTAACGACGTGCTGGCTTTGCTGGCTGCCTGGAGTGCCGCCCGCTCTGGGAACAGTTTTACGTGTGGACTTGAGGAGCTGGCCCCGCTCAGACTTGGGAGTCAGAGCTTACAGTGAGGTCAGGGGCCTTCTGTGAAGTGCTTGTGGGGCTGGGGAGAGCTGACTTTCTGGCCCCTAATAAGCCTCCTCGCTTTGTCCTCATTTCATCTTCTCTCTTCTCTGTTCTCCAGAAGTGTGCCCTCAGGCCACACTGCTGAGGAGTGTGTTAGCTGGGCAGATTCCGCCTCCGCTTCCGCTTCCATCCATCTGCACCCCATTCACCCCCCGGGCTCAAAACGGCATCCCCGCAGGCCGTGAATGAGGCTGAACCTCTGTCATTTAGCAGCAGGGTAAGGCTTCCATCTTCTTCCTTCTTCCTCCCCATTAAACACCAGATCAGAGAACTGGGGCTTAGGGCCACAAGAGGACTCCTCTGAATCCGGAGCGCATTCATTTTTAGTTGTCTTCCATGAGGATCCAGAAATTAGTTCTTCGCAAAGTTCTGCCCATCAGGGCAGGCACCTATTAAATTTTGGAAAAGCATTCCACTTTTAAGCTGCAGCTCATCTGAAAGCTGTGCAAAATCAAAGACCCCTATTTCTCCTTTAGTGACTAGAAAGGACTATCAGAAGGTAGACCACAGAGATTTTGATGGAAGAGCAGATTAGTAACTGAAGTTCCCTACCTCCAAGATTCTCAAACGAAAGGAATACGACACGGGGTAGAGAAAACTGACTTGAGAGACTGCTAAATGGAAAGTGCCTCCACAGTACCCCATCAAAAATGTGGGGCTGAGCTTACCTTCCAACACATACTCCCCCATTCCTGCCCCCAGCCTTTTTCTCTCCTGTGGGAATCTCTCCTCCAGCTGCTTCATTATCAGCAGCATTATCAAAAGAAGCAGAAAGGTGCCATAACTTTGAAAGGGGCCTCATAAGGGGCCTCATAACTTTGGAACACAAAAGAAGTGTCTCTCAAAATAACATAGTAGGTAATAATACTGAATGTGAATAATTCAACAATCCAATCAAGAAGTGGACGTTGTCAGATTGGTTCTTTAAGAAAAAGATAACAGGGGTGCCTGGGTGACTCAGTTAGTTAAGTGTCTCAGCTTGGGTCTCGATCTCATGAGTCATGAGTTCAAGCCCCATGTTGGGCTTCACACTGGGTGTGAAGCCTACTTAAAAAAAAATCTAACTACATGCTGTCTGTTGGAGAAACACTTTATACTCAAAGATACAAATAGACTGAAAGCAGAAAGAAGGAAAAGAGAGGTCATTCAAACAGCAACCAAAAGAAAGCTGGAGGCGTTCTACTAGTATCAGGCAAAAATTTCAAAACAAAAATGTTACCAGAGATAAAGAGAGATATTCTACAAGAACAAAAATGGCAATCTATCAGGAAAACCGAACAATTACAAACAGGTATTCACCTAGTAACAAAGCAACAAAATACATGAAGCAAAAACTCAGCAAAATGAAGGGAGAAATAGGTAATTCAAAAATAACAGCTAGAGACTTCAGTACCCCTCTTTCAGTGATGTGTGGTACAACGAAGGAGAAGACCAAGAAGGAAACAGAAGGCTCAATGCTGTAAGACAACTAGACCTAACAGACATCGATAAAACACTCTACCCAACAACAGAACATACATTCTTCTCAAATGCATGTAAGATATTCTCCAGGAGACACTATATGCTAAACCATAAAACAAACCTCAACAAATGTGAAGGATTAAAATAATATGAAGTATGTTATTCAACTACAACAAAATGAAATTAGAAAGCAAGAGCAGAAAGAATTTTGGGAAACCCACAAATACGTAGAAATTAACACATTCCTAACTAGTGGGTCAATCAAATGCAGAATCGCAAGGGAAATTAGAAAGTACCTGGAGGTGAATGAAGAGGAAGACATAATATACTAAAAATTATGGGATGCAACTAAAGCAGTGCTCAGAAAGAAATGTATAGCTGTGCATACCTACATTTAAAAGGAAGAAAGTTTTCAAATTAAAAACCTAATCTTCACCTTAAGACACTGGAAAAAGAAGAGCAAACTAAACCTAAAAGCAAGAAGGGGAAAAAAAGGACTGAAGCAGAAATTATGATATAGGGAACAGAAGAACAATAGGGAAAACTAGTGACACCAACACTGGTTCTTTGACATGATCTTTGTTGATCTACAAAATAGCTAAACCTTTAGCTAGACTGATCAAGAAAAAAAAGAGAGAATAGATGACCATATTCAAATGACCAGAATCAGAAATGAAAGAGGGGACATCATTATGGATCTTACAGAGAAGTAAAAAGGATTTTTTTTTTTTTTTGTAAAAAGGATTTTAAAGGAATACCATGAACATTATATACCAGTCAATTAGAAAACTTAGATGAAATAGACATATTCCTGTAAAGACACACCACTGAAAATGACTCAGGCAGAAATAAACAATCTGAACAGATCTATAACAAGTCAAGTTTGAGTTAATAATAATAATAAATTACCCACAGGAAAAACCCAGGTTCAGATGCCTTCATTGCAAAATTCTACCAAGCATTTAAAGAAGAATTAATACCAATTCTTCACAAACTCTTCTAAAAAAAATAAGAGATGGTAACATGTCCAAAACTACTCTATGAGACCAGTATTATCCTGATAACAAAACCAGACAAAAACATCACAAGAAAAACACAGACCAGTATCTCTTATGAATACAAATATAAAAATCCTCAACAATACACTAGCAAACCAAATCCTATAGCTACATATAAACTGAATTATATATCATGACCAAAAAGAATTTAGCCTAGGGATGCAAATGTGTGATCCACATATGAAAATCAACGTAACATACCATATTAATAGAATATTAAGGGGAAAAACCCCAAATGATTATTTCAATGAAGAAAAAGCATCTGATAAAATCTAACACCTTTTCATGATAAAAACATTTTCATGATAAAAACAGGGGCGCCTGGGTGGCTCAGTAGTTAAGCGTCTGCCTTCGGCTCAGGTCATGATCCCAGGGTCCTGGGATCGAGTCCCGCATCGGGCTCACTGCTCAGTGGGAGTCTGCTTCTCCCTCTCCTACTCCCCCTGCTTGTATTCCCTCTCTGTCTCTTTCTCTGTCAAATAAATAAATAAAATACTAAATAAATAAATAAACACATTCAACAAAGCAGGACTGGAAGTTAACTTCTTCACTCTGATAAAGGACATCTACAATAATCCATAACATCATATTTAACGATGTTATGATGGAATGCTTTCTTCCTAAGATCAAGAACAAGAAACGATGGTGTGGTCTTGCCACTTCAGTATTCATCTGATTTCTTGCAGTAAGACAAGAAAATGAAATAAAAGGTATCCAGATTGGAAGGGAATATGAAACTATCTCTATTCATAGATGGCATAATCTTATATAAAATCCTAAGGAATCCATTAACAATCTGTTAGATCTAAAATGAGTTCAACAAGGCTAACGATATAAGATCAATATACAAAAATCTCTTGTATTTCTACCCACTTGCAATGAACAATCCCAGAATGAAATGAAGAAAGTAATTACATTTGAAATATCATCAAAAAGAATAAGATACGTAGGAACAAATTTAAGCTCCCCTCCCCCAAAAAGCACAAAACTTATACTCTGAAAACTACAAAACGTTGTTGAAAGAAATCAAATATCTAAATAAATGGGAAAACCTTCCATGCTCTGAGGTCACAAGACTTAATATTGTTAAGATGGCAATATCAAATCAATCTATAGATTCAATGATTTGTATTAGAATCACACTGACTTCTTTGCAGAAACTAAAAAGCTAGGGCATGTGGGTGGCTCAGTGGGTTAAGTCTCTGCGTTCAGCTCAGGTCATGATCTCAGGGTCCTGGGATCGTATCGGGCTCTCTGCTCAGCAGGAAGCCTGCTTCTCCCTCTTTCACTCCCCCTGCTTATGTTCCCTCTCTCCCTGTCTCCCTGTCAAATAAATAAAATCTTAAAAAAAAAAAAGAAACTAAAAAGCTGATTCTAAAATTCATATGGAATTTCAAAAATCCAAAACAATCTTTAAAACATGGGAAGATTCATAATTCCTAATTTCAAAACTGGCTACAAACCTACAGCAATCGAGACAGTGGGGTAAGATCAAAGCGAGAGTCCAGATGTAAATCCATGTGTTTACAATCAACTAATTTTCAGCAAGGATGCCAAGACAATTCAGTGGGGAAAGAACAGTCTTCCCAACAAATAGTGCTGGGACAACTGGATAATTACCTCCAAAAGAATGAAGCTGAATCCTTATCTCACACTAGACATGAAAATTAATTCAAAACAGACTGAATATCTAAATGTAACAAACTATAAGAAGAAAACATAGAGGCACACCTTCATGATCTTGGATTTGGCAATGTTTTTTTAGATTTTATACCCACTTTTTTATACCAAAAAAAGAAAAGCGGTTACATTAGATCTCATCGAAATTAAAAACTTGTGCTTTAATGGACACTATCAAGAAAATGAAAAACAACCAACAGAATGGGAGAAAATGTCTCCCAATCATTTATCTAAGGGACTAAAATATACAAAGGACTCTGAGAACTGAGAAATAAAAGGACAACCTAATCCAAAACCAGCCAAAGGATCTGTACAGACTTGTCTCTGCAGAAAATTCACAAATGGCCAAGAAGTTCTTCAAAAGATGACTGACATCAACAGTCTTTAGAGAAATACAAATCAAAACCATGAGCTACCACTCCACATTCGCTAGCATGACTAAAATTAGAAGGTCAGAAAATAATGAGTGTTGAGAAGGCTGTGGAGACACTGAAACCCTCGTACACTGACGATGGGAATGTCAACTGGGCAGCCACTGTGGAAAAGAGTCCAGCCGCTCTTCAAACAATGAGACATAGTTAGCATGGGGTCCCACAGTTCTACTCTCAGGTATCTTCCCAAGCAAAATGAAAACATGTCCACACCAAAGACTTGTAAACACGAATGTTCACATCAGTGTTAGTCATAACAGCCAAAAGGTGGAAATGACCCAAATGTCCATCCATGATGAACGAATAAACAAGAAATGGTCTATCCTTCCAATGGACTAGGACTTGGCTATGAAACAAATGAAGTACTGGCCTACGCTATGACAGAGATAAGCCATGAAAACACTCTGCTGAGTGTAAGAAGCCAGTCACAGAAGAGCACACATGTGATTCCACTTACAGGAAACACCTAGAACAGGAAGATCCACAAGACAGAAAGTAGATCAGTGGTTGCTTTCAGGCTGGAGAAGCTGAGAGGTGGGAGTGTTGGCTAAAGGCGATGGGGTTTCTTTCTGAGGCGAGGAAAATGTTCTAAAATTGACTGTGGTGATGCTTGCACAACTCTGGGAGTATGCTAAAATCCGCTGCATTGTACACTTTAAATGGGCAATCAGGAATGCGAACTATATGTCCATCAGGCTACTTAAATAAATAATAGAGTGGGAAGAAAAACATCCTGGAAACTTCTGAAATCTTTCCTCGGACTCTACCATCCCATTTAACTGAAAAATCTTGTCACAACAGTATGACCACCCATGGCCTTTATCAGCTTCCTCCTCCCACCTCATGCACACAGATGTCCCCTTTTCTGCCCCTCGAGAAAGCGCATGAGAGCTTTCTTGTCCCTGGAAGAAACCAGCGGGACACGGGCAGCGATGCCCGCCAGACGGTGAGCAGTTCAGGGCTGTAGCAGGAAGAGATGATGCGGGGGGGCTGTGGGGGAAGGGCGGATGGGACAGCCTCAGTCCGGTCTCAGGGCCCCAGCTCCTAACCTGACCTCTGGGAGTCCAGAGTGGGGCCAGGCCACCCCCTTACCGATAGGGGCCAGCTGATGCACGTGAGCAAGCGGTAGAGGCGGAACAGGTGCACCAGATAAAAGACGAGGATCATTATCAAGTTGCAGATGGTGACCACTTGGAAGTAGCTGTAGGCACTGGAGATGTACCACACGGAGCTCCTCACGCAGATGAAGGCGATCAGCAGTGTGACCTGGGACAGAGATACAGACATGTCAGACACAGGCCCGCCCACGACGGACGCCCAGGGAACCAGCAACAGGAGCCCGCTGAGGAACTGCTGCACTTCTGGCGATTTCCTGACAAACTAGCCGCGAGGCCGGAAAGGGCCAAGTTCCCAGAGCGCGCGCTTTTAAGGCTGAAGTGCATTATGTTTGCCTCAGACAGAGGGCAGGAACGCAGGAAAATAACCAAGCAGAATCATTCCATTTATTTCCCTATTAGGTGGAACTGTAGGAAGTTGCCAATATTGGACGGTTTTTGACCCACAAAGATGGCGATTCCTATGTCACAAGTTATCTATCAGCTGGCGGACGGTAAGTTACCATTTATTGATGCCCGATGTACATGATCTCCTGGAGGTCTCACAGAAATCTGCCAGGGAGAGGATGTCACCCCCATGTTCATATTTGGGGAAACTGAGGTACACCGGTTCAGTAATTAGTCCAAGGCTACCCAGCTCATCAGCGGTGGAGGTGGGATTCAAAACCCAAGTCTGTCTGACTCCAGGGACCTGTTCCTCCGTGTCAGATACAGTTTTGCCTTCCAAGAATGTAAGCCCTCCTCACAGACAAGCCGAGGAAGGAGGATATGTTATGAAACACAAAGGACTCCTGGTTATTCAAGGCTTGCCTGCTCACCACTGGGCATGTGGTGAGAGCTCACCCAGTATATTGTTGCAAATGAATGACTGGGCAGAATTAATAAATTAATGACCTATTAATGAATTAACAGTCCTGGTAGATTATTAGCAACAGATGAATGGCATGGGAGAGCAGAGTGGAAGAGGAGAAAGATGATTCTGAGTTTTTGTGAGGCCACTCAAAAAGAGTAAAATCTCATTCACCCCATGTAGGGAATAAACCACTAACACCACAGGGTTAAATGTATGGAAAACCTTGGGACCAATTTTAAAAGTACACCTAATTTGGGATAAAGCTGATTTTTTACTGCTGCTTTCCTACAGAACAGTGAGCAAAGATGTGTGACAGAGAGACTTTGTGTCCTATGGGACACTCGGCAGTGCCTGGTTTGGTTGTCACCACTATGGGAGGTTTCTGTGGGCATTTAGTGGTTTGAGGCCAGGGGTGCTACTGAACACCCCAAATGCATAGGTCAGTCCCCACAACAAAGAACCATCTGGTCTCAAATGTGGCCCAGCAGAAACCTGCTGTAGAAGATGTGAGTGTCGGGGCGCCCGGGTGGCTCAGTGGGCTAAGCCTCTGCCTTCAGCTTAGGTCATGATCCCAGAGTCCTGGGATCAAACCCCACATAGAACTCCCTGCTCAGTGGGAGTCTGCCTTCTCCCTCTGACCTTCACCCCACTCATTCTCTCTCTCTCTCTCACTCTCCCGCTCTCAAAAAGATAAAATCTTTAAAAAAAGAAAATGTGAGTCTATAACGAGCATTAAATCATAAAATGGAGCTAATACCGGTTGAAAGGGTTAGTGTGGAACATACTCTGTTTTCTGAAGCCCCTTAATCCACTCTGGTAAACTCCTTAGAACAAGCACAAGGGTGAGAAGAGAGTCTAGAGGAAGATGAAGGCGGGTACAAGGAGTGCTCTGCTTGCCGGATCCGAACAGCGGAGTGACTCTGACACAAAGGGACCCTCGACATTTGCCTAGTCCCCGTTGCTAATGAGCAACGTGAGTATTTTCATTTTTTCGGTTCCTCTCAAGCTAGCCAGCCTTGCTAATATAATATAATGATTCATGCCCTGAGATTGTTTTAAAGCTCCAAGGGGATCTTTGCTTCACCCAGCACTGGACGTGATCACCAGGGCTTTGCTGCTCATCAGTCCCCATTTGCAGGACCCGGGTCTACGGGTCTCCCCACCACCCACTGACCCCCCTCCAGAAAGGGGGGCCTTCAGGGCCCACCTTAAAATGCAGAGAACTCTGGATTATGCAGCGCCATTCCTAGGGGGAGAAGCAAATTTGTGCCTAATTTAATGCAAAGACTAGATTAATCTGTACAACTCTTCATCTGTGACAGTCACCTCTTTCTCATGGTGACACAGAGATGTGGGAGTTTCCCAGTGAGCAGGGGGGTCCGTGCAGGTCTTCCCCTCTGAGCTCCCAGGGCTGAGGACCTTGCAGCAGCAAGGATGTTACTGCTCTACCACAAAACCATCTCAGACCCACCTGGAAAACATTCTCCTGAAGGAAGACATCCAGAATTCTGTTCGATTGGCCTAAGGCCACCTACCACTTGCTCTTCTTCAAAGAATCCCAATTTTGGAAAATCTCATTTAGACCACAGATGGCATACACTAATGCATGCAACTAAATCTTCCTTTTTGTCCAATAATTCACCCATTCCTACTTTAAATGGCCAGCATCTTGGCCAGAGCACCTTAAAAAAAAAATTTTTTTTTTTTTTAACTGACATCTAAACTTTTCAGAACTCTTCTAGGCCAGCAAGTAACCTCTGCAAATGCTGGAGACCCCGGAATCATCTAGATCAATACTCTGGGGGCAGCCAGAAAGGTGCAGAAGAATGAGCAAGCCAGACCATCGTGGAGAAAAAGCCCTGGGGTATGGCTTCCCCCTACCCTGCCCCCCTCGCTGTAACCAGGGCCCCCTCAGACCTCTTCTTGTTTCCAGTTAGAAAAGCAAATCAAAAACACAGTGGAATGCAGACAGCCTGAAGGAGGAGTTCTGATTTCAGGGTTGAGTGAGGCAGGCTGGGAGGTTTCTAGAAGGCATTTGTGGTTCTGTTCAGAGTAACTTAAATGTGATACCATCCAACAGACTAACTTGTTTCCCTAGGGGCCCTCTAGCTCCCCTCATAAAGGTATGTTCTTTTATATCAAACTGCCATGAAAGTTGCGAATAAAATCTCTAGCACACACGTCCGGGGGTTTAAAAGGAATGCTGTGAGTCCCCTCCACCCAGAGCCAGGGTCTCACACCCCTGCTGTGGCACCGTTCAGAATCGCTGGAATCATCTCACATTGAAACCACCCCCTCTGCCCCCAAACTGTGTCGTTTCTGACTTCATTCTATCGGAGTTCTTACTAGCGGGAAGAGATGATTTTTGTGGAAGCAGCAGTGGGTTTAAATGGCGCAGATGAGGCAGGCTGACATCACCAGGCTCCAGGCTCGGGTTCTCAGCCTGGGAGGGGGTCCCTCAAGGAAGAAGCCACCTGCTGCCTGCAGTCTGTGCCCTTGAACACTCCCTCAAGCAGGTTTGATCTTCCCATGCACCTGCCAAGTCTGGTCCCTTGAGCGTTCCGGCATCTGACTGAAGATGGCACCAGACACCTTATATTTCAAGAACCCCGGGCTGGATGCAGGCAGGTCACCTAACCCCACCTTCTCATGGGGGTTTTTGCCCTGACCTTGGAATAATGTTTCAGTGAGGGAGCCAGGCAGGAGAAAGAAAAGTAGCTGATGAAAGCCAACATCAAAAGGTCTCAGACCCAACTCTAAGAGGCTTTTCTGGAAAAGCCTAGGAGATGAAAGCCAGGCTTGTTCAAAAAGTCAGAGATGGGGTGAGTCAGTGATTGCAAAGTGCATTTGTAGATGCAGGCGGGCCCATAAATGACTTTGCTTGGCCGTGGGCAGGCAGGAAGAAGAATTTGATATGCTTCTAACTTCTGAATTCTGCCCTGCGGTGGACAGAAATTTCCCCCCACCTTCCTGTTAAAGCCCCCGCTGGCCATCACCGCCAAACAGCCCTTGGGGAACCTCATTGACACCCACGTGCAAGAGAACCCTCCCCAGCTTACTTCCTCTGGATCCCCGTCTCGCTCACCGATATCAGACTCTAGGTGCAGGCTCCTTCCCATCCCCCCATGCCCCAGCACACAGTTCTGTTCTGTATCCAAGAATAAAAAATGCCATCAAAAGCACAAGGGAGGGGGAATAATCCAAAGAACATGATGTCAGGGGTCCTCAGATGCAGGTCTCAAGTAGGCCTCTAATTAGTGTACTGGGTTCTGACTGACCATGCAGCAAAGGACCTGCGGCTTATTAAAAGCCAAATACGCTTGTCCAGGCTGGGACTATTTCCGGAAGGACACATAAGAAACTGGCCGCCTCAGGGGACAACTGACTATTTAGCGGTTTTTCAAATTTGCTATTTTCTTTTCTTGATTATTAAAAAAATCATATACTAAGCTGTAAAAAAAAAAAAAAAAAACATTTTTTTTTTAAGGACACAACTTGGAGATCTTTAATGGTACAGATTTACCCTTTGCTTTCAGTTGGCTGCGGCTTTATTTGACCCAGTGTTTCTCAACCTCAGTACTACTGGCATGTTGGGTTGGGTAATTTTTTTGGTGGCAGCTATCTGGGAGGATGGTTAGCAGAATTCCGGTCTCCACCCACGAGGCAGAGCCCTTCCCTAGGTGCAAGAACCACAAATGTCTTCAGATGTTGGCAAAGGTTGTCGGGGGCAAAGAACCGCTACCTTAATCAACCTTTTGCTAAAGGGTATTTGTCTAATCCCCAGTTTTTTACTAATATACACAACCCTGCAAAAGAATATCCTTGGACATGCCTCTTTATGTATGTATGAACATTTCTGAAAGGTTCTCCGAAGTGAAACTGACGTAGGAAACAGGCAGGAGAAAAGTTACTAAATTTCCTTACTATCTAGAGCCCACTGACAAGTCCTTGAAATAGGCAGAGTGACATTCCTCCAGGGATTCATCTACTTCCACCTTAATACTTTGCTAAGAGCAAAAGGCAACCCTAGCCTGACCGCTCCCCACCCCCAACCAGGACCCTGTGGGTCTACTTTCACATATAAAAATTCCTTTGGGGGACGTCTGGGTGGCTCAGTTGGTTGGACGACTGCTTTCGGCTCGGGTCATGATCCCGGAGTCCCGGGATCGAATCCCACATCGGGCTCCCAGCTCCACGGGGAGTCTGCTTCTCCCTCTGACCTTCTCCTCGCTCATGCTCTCTCTCACTGCCTCTCTCTCAAATAAATAAAATCTTAAAATAAATAAATAAATAAATAA